CATGTCTTTGTTGACTAACATGAAGTGAAATCTTACAAAAAGCTAGCCTATGATCGACAGATGCCAAATCTTAGGTTTTGATGTGATTATATATTTCTTTCATGCACGGTGGTTTAGTTCTAGGACTGGAGTTTCAGAAAGACAGCAATCAATGGGTCTGTGGAAGAGTACACAAAATTTATTACTCCTGGCATTCGTCAAGGCAGAATTATTCAAAAAATAATCTGAAATGCATTTGATCATACACCAGAAGTTTTAATAATTTATATTATACCTTATTAGCAAAGTCTTGTGTTTACTTTGTGACTGCCAAAACAAGATGAAAGGCTGCCTCCATGGAAATACAAGATGCTTAGCTCAAAGTGTCTGTCTTCACATTTCAGTTTCATAATTTCCCTTCTTCCCCTTATTTTGATTAATAGTCTATGGTGTGAAATCTTAGAGTACCTTTTCCTTCCTTTTTAGTGGTCCTTTTTAGTGAGAGCAATGCTCCTTAATAAGTCTACCAAAGAGTTTATGTCCTATCAAGACTGAAACTAGTATAAACATATATTTTTGGAATTTCTTTACCTTAGGGTTTCCTCCAAGTATTTTTTGGTTAAAAGAGGCTTTGAATTTAGTTCTGAATTCCACTGAACTGACTCATTATGGTAATCTTCCTGAGTCTTGCAGCTACAAAAGTATGATTTCTGAGCTCAGCTTAAGAAACTGTTGCACTCTGAGTAAGGATTGAGTATGGTAAATATCACAGCCATATCAGTTCAGAATATAACAAAAATGACATAAAGATTTCCTTGAAAAGCTAGTGTACTGTAAATATTTTATCTAGAGGTACAAATAAGGGCTGTTCAGAGTTAATACTTCTATGAAGTGAGAGCACAGGGAGTGGACCAGTGTAAATACTAGTTCAAAAAATGAGTTCTTTGCCTCAACCCAGGTTTTTTACACCAAAGGTTCATGAAAAAGCTCTAATAAACTTTGTTCTCTGTAGAAAACTACCCTCCTCACAAAACATGAAAGATCTTTTCTGCAGGTGATTTGGATAGCTCTTCGAGACACGGTATATGGAAAGCTTTAGGGAAAAAAACAGGTATGGGAGGATTTCAGAATAAAGCTCTACAGTATTGCAAACTCTGAAGCTGATATGATAGCCCAGATAATCTCTTGTAATTTGCCTTGTCTACCCTAGAAGGCTTAATTTTAGTTTTAGTTTCTGTAGCCTCATCCTTTCCCCTCCTTCTCTGTGAGTGTCATATACACTACTGTATACTTCACCTGAAAACTAATTCCTCAGACAGAGCGTGCAGAAGCCCTTTTGCCCAAATGAGTTTATATGATACTTGTGTGTTAGGAAGAACTGCTTATATTTTTGGCAAGCCCTTCACTGTTGTCCAGACTGCAGTGAGGGCCACTCAGCCCTTAGCTCAGGAGTACGAGAGTGCATTAACATGGTCAGCTTAGCAGACTCCTCTTCCCGCTGAGAGTTTTGTACCATGTCCTGCAGAGCTGCACAGCAGACTATTAGGAAGAGGCATCCACCTGCAGGTGTCTCTGAGTGATTATCCTGGTTTTAAATGCTCTTGTATGAATCTCGGGAGGGGGACAAAAGATTGCCATTTGCTAAAGGAGCCTTTCGTTTGCAGGGAACCAGATGTACCCTTTTTTTACAAATACATGTTCTGTGACAATAATGAGGGAAATTTTCAAGGGAGCCAGTGGTATTACCCATGTGTCAGTGTTGCAAGGCAGAAGTTTGGGCCAATCTAGCAAATAGTTCTTAGAAAGTACAGATCAGATTAACATATTCTTTACTTTTCTTGTAAGAAAGTATTTGGCAGGATCATCTGAAGACATATGCATTATCAAACAGAAATGCAGTAGTGTTTTAAGTGGTAAGCTGTGAAGTGCATCTTTAAGAAAAGGGTCATTTCAGTTTGCAAATTGTTGAGGTTTTGTCCATATAAGAACTGTTTAATCCATGAGAAAATTTGTAAAGAAATCGTGTTAGCAAGATAATAGGAGTAGTATTTCATGTATGCATCCGCTGAAAAAAAGCTTCTGGTTTAAATTGTTTGATAATCTCTTATATGAGCTGAGATACTGTAAAAAACTAAAGTTTTGAGCAGTTTAGAAAATGTGACTACCAATAGAAACAACTGCATCAGAGTTCAAAATGTAAGATAGGAAGAAAACAAAAGAACAGTGAAATTGTGATAATTGTACCTCTAACCAAGTTAGGTTTTGATATTAATTAAATACTGTGAGATAAAATCTCATCTACGGAAAGAAAATAAAAAATGGGGTTTAGTGTATCAGTATGATCATCTCATTTATGGGAAATATGATAAAGTAAGTTAAAAGTGGGTCTCACAGGTTTACCAGCTGACTTAGATGAAATGCTACTGGGACAACTGGTCATAGGGCCAGTGGTGTTCACCACTGCTGGAACTTTTTAAACCTTGCTAAAATCTGTTTTGCCATTCTGTCCTATAAGCAGCGTGCAGCACTGCCTAATGCATATGCATTGCATGTTGCAATAGAGGCATAAGAAAACAATATGGTAACAAAAAAAGGCTGTGTAGGCTATGCATGATCAAAATTATACCAGCAAGATGAGACTGTTTAGTTTTACATTGGAAAACAGAAAAACTGTAAAACATAAATGAAATGCCAGTTAAATCAGTACTGAAAACTATGGCACAGAAACATGAATGGGTGCGTGAGACACTGATGTGTTTAACTTTTAGTGAAGGGGAAAAGAAAAAAAACTCTCTCAAAACATTTTACAACTTGTAACTCGTGTTTGGGGCGTTTTGTTGGCTATCCCTAGTCTCACAGATACAGGTAGGTAGGAACTGAAGCTGAGCATTGAGGAGAAAATTACGTCATTTATGAGGTACTGGCCCTTTTTATCTGTTTGCTAAGGGATAGCATCTAGACCTATGCAACTAAATATTCAGGACTTTTATCATGCGGTGTAGAAATATTTAATTAGGAGTTGGTAGTCTGATTGTAGTCTGGCAAATTTTAAGTCATGAATCAGTGAAAAATAAATATCAGAAGAAATCAGGCTTTAGTTACAGTGATATTTTTACAGCCTTATTCATTCTTTTAAATCACTTTAGCCTTAGTGTTAATGTAACAACAATACAGGTAAAAGCTGGTCATTACCATAAATTATGCTCTGTAGATTGGTAGAGATTTGTGAGACTTGCAAAGAGAAGAAAGGCTTTATAAATATCTAGAAAGAATAAATTGCAAAGGAATTCATTTATAAAGAATCCTGTACATTTTCCAGTTTATTCTGCAGGCAGAGGTTAATCGGCTTTGATTTGGGAGGATAAAATAACTGTGGCCAGGTACTAAAATTTCAGATGCCTTAGAAATTGATTGTAATTAATAACAGTATGAAGCAGTTTCCTAGTTTTTGATGAAGGTAACATGTTTGTCACAGTGTAGACTGAAGTCCTGGAGTACTGTTCTTATCGTGCCTCACACTGCAAAGAACTACTACACCCCAATTTGCTTACCTATTGCCTTTCCTCTGTTTACCCAATTGATGATGTTCTAGGTGCAGTATGTATGACAAGTCATCCTCATTTCATAGTTCACTTGATTAGTAACCCTTTGCCTGTGTGAATTGAGATCTAATTCAGCAATAACTCAGATATTAGAGTAGGACTTACTCCAGGCTGTCATTTGTCCCTTTGATGCTTACTTACCTAACCAATAGTAATCATTATTTTCCTTTTACTATTATTACAATGGAACTGATTGCAGAAATGGAAAACAGGAGGCGGTAACAGACAGTTTGAATTGTACCGTCACACTTTTGTGGGCAGGCACCTTTCTTGGAGCTTTGATATTTCTTTGAGTTTGCCCAGAAATATGTTTGGTAAAAGAGGGAGCGGGCATCTGGTCTGTATTTTCATGTGGCCCTGTTTCAGCTTCTTGGAAATACAAGATTATCCAGATATGTACCTTCTGGGTTCCTGACTTGTTTTATATGAAATGCGAAGGGGGGGGGATAAAAAAATCTTTTTTAACTGGAAAATTTCAAGCCAATTAGAAATCCAGCTGAACTCAGTTGACTTCCTGAGAGATTATTGAAATAAAGGTAAGGGATCAGCAATTATCAACAGAAATAATGAATCTTATGATGCAACATCATTACACCTTTGTTTAATTACACCTTTCCTACTTACACCTCTTGCAAATGTCATCAGACTACAGTTGCAATGGATGCTTTTATTTTTGAGTATCTACAAGGCTAGCATGCTGAACTGAACAAGGTTGTAAGAGGGAAGAACTGTTTATTGTTTTTCACTTGGATTTTCTGCTGAAATAGTGACTCGCTATCTGTAACGTGCTGCAGTTAAAAGACCTCATATTCTTGGGGATCTTGGTGCTTGCAGTCAGGTTGGGAATGGTAATGGCAGGCACAGCAGGGAACTCGGATGCAATATGCTGAATGAGAAGGTGAGTGTTTTAGCACTCCTGAGGGTCAGAGGAAAGGAAAAGCCCTGTGGGAGGATTTTCAAGCACCACTGAGCTGGCACACCAGGAGACGATGATTGACTTTAGAAGAGCCCTGCTGTGCAAAGGATTGTAGTGTTGTGGTCCCCTTTATCACTGGTTAGACATTTCCTTTGGAGAAGCCAAAAATGGGAAAGTAGTGAGATAACTCAAACCAAATAAAAAAATAATTGTCAAACAACTCTCTTTGATGACATTGAGGTCTGCAGATTTGTTTCTGTTGCTAACAGCTTAATTTATTTGGTGCTTAATTTCATTAGAAATGTTGATTTTGTATGGCATTGATAAGATTTCTGTATGAAAAACTGATGACCTGATGACACAGTGCAGGTTGAACTGTTGTTTGTCTTGAAAAGGTATATTATATTAATTTGAACCTCAGTATAAAGAGGATGTTGTATTTGGTATGTACAATCAGAAATACATAACACTGTTTCAATCTTAATACGTGCATTTCTTCGCAGGAGTTCAGATGTGGACCACAGAATGGCACAAACTGCAAAACGCACCCTTCTGCTGAGATCCCAGTGAAAACACCGCTCAGCTCGTGGATGGCTTTGCAGCTCCCATGGCAACAAGGAGGTGGACTGAAGATACTGTCTGCAAGCCTGGCTTTACTGGCGGTTCTTGTTATGTTTTACTACGGTGGAATGAAAACAGGACTGTGAACTGAATGAGGCTTTTATGAAAACAATAAAACTGCTGTTTAAAATCTTCAAAGGAAACACTTTTACCAAGAAATCTTTTTTCTTTTTTTTAAATAATATAAATTGGGCAGTAATTCATACTCACTCTATGCCTTTCCTGTCATTCAGTGGAGAAAATGTTAATAAGCTGTGGGGAGACCTATCTTGTCAAAACCTGAGGTCTTTGTTTGGCAGAACAGTTTGTTGCATCTTCCCTTTTCTTTTTCTTCTGAAATGATGCAATATTTGCATTGCATACTCTTTTCATAACTACTGTATCAGGTAAAATTGCATGAAGTTTATAAGAAATGTTTCCACTGAGTGATGTTGGTAATCTTTTATGGTCAGAATATTTAAAGCTTTCTTAAAGATTTTTCTTAGTGCAGTGTGATGGTTTGATATGTGTCTTTTTACATTAGAATCAAACACTGCAAGACCATTAAAGTTTGTCATTTGTTGCTATTTATTTTGCTGTCATGTCTGAAAGAATTTTACCTGCCGTCTTACCTCTCTCAACTTTGCAGTGAATCACTAGGCTTCCTTAATACAATAAGAATTATTTTTTACATAGAAATACTTTTAAAGGTTTTATAATTGAATAGGAATATGTAGAGTTCTATTAAAAGATGGATTTAATACAGTCTATAGATTTAATACAATGCTCAGAGAAGTACATGTGAATCTCTATGAGCTGTGCGTTGGATCATGCTGTGTGTAAGACAATATTGCTGTGTTAGTGGGAAGGTTGCATTGGGCACACTGGAAATTTCTAATTACTTTCTTCAAGCCATTTTTGTCATGACGGGATCTCCATGCATCTTGAGAGTGTGCTGGTCAGTCAGGGGCTGGACTGTGTGCCCAGTTCTTCTGCCTGATATTATTCATTTGTTCATGCCCTGTCACTTTTCTGAATCTTCATCGAAACTTCTACTTGCAAAGGCTGTTTAAAATATTAAGAACAGGAACTCTAGGGTTTAGGGTTTTTTTACTTCTGGGATGTTTGTGTGGTACCCAGATGGAGTGGAGCTGCCTACATGGCTGGCGTGATTTAACCCCAGTAGGCAGCTAACACAGAGCCACCCGCTCATTCCCCTCCCTGTGGGACTGGGGCGAGAATCAGAAGAGTAAAACTGATAAAACTTATGTATTGAGATAAAGACACTTAAGTAGGTAAAGCAAAAGCTGCACAGGCAGGCAAAGCAAACCAAGGAATTCATTCGGTCAGTACTTTGGCAGGCAGGTGGGCAGCCATTCCCAGGAAAGCAGGGCTCCATCACACGTAACCGTGACTCAGGAAGACAAACACCATCACTCCAAATGTGCCCCCTCCTTCCTTTTTCCCCTAAACTTTTTATTGGTGAGCATGACGCCCTATGGTCTGGAATATCCCTTTGGTCAGTTTGGGTCAGTTGGTTGTGTCCCCTCCCAACTCCTTGCACATCCCCAGGCTCCTCTCTAGTGGGGCAGCGTGAGAAGCAGAAAAGGCCTTGACTCTGTGCAAGCACTGCTCAGGAACAGCCGAAAGGTCCCTGTGTTAGCAAATCTAAAACATAGCCGCAGACCAGTTGCAATGAAGAAAATTAGCTCTATCCCAGCCAAAACCAGTGCACTGTCTCTACAGTGCAGGTGAATAGTCCACTAGTAAGAATGTTTTGTACTTTATAAGCTGGGCATGCATAATGGTTACAGGCAATTAGTCAGGAAGTTCCACCATGATGCTTTCAGTACAGCCTGTAAATTATAACAACAGATGTAACTGTCTTCAGGAAATCAGGTATGTGATGACGCAAATATTATACTTCTTATTGCTACCACGGAAGGTCTTGAGCCACGACTCAAAATTCATGAGATTTTAAAAAATAAAAACTGAACCAAAACCAAACTGTGCCTTTGATTTGCCTCTGTTTGGTTTGGGTTTTTTCCATGCTTTTCTTTACAATCAGGAATATGTAACTATCAGTAATTTACATTTTTAACAAATTTGAGAAATTCTTTAAAAAAAAGCACAAGCTTGACTGAGGGAGTTGAAATTTTCAGGAAAGTACAACAGATTTCAAGATTCTCAGGAAAACTACGGATTGACAAAATCGTTATGTCTGAGCCAAATTTTTGCATGTGATGAGAATAAACTATGCAGATATGTTCTATGCCTCTAGCATTCTCTCTGTCAGCCACTCTAGCTTATCTAATCGTAGCAATTACAGATTCATTGCATCAGCTATTACAGAGATTTACAGAGCTTGTGATTTAGATACTGTGCATCGTGTACTTTAATGGGACCAGCTTATTTCCTTAGAAATAGTGCAATATACTGAAAGAGGCCAAAGAATACTTTGTAAATGACATTGTCCACTGCAGATGCAGTATATTCATAAACTGTCTTAATCTGATAAGTAGGAAGTGTTGTTTATTGAGTATTTTGCTATCTTCCTTTAGATTTTTGAGAGGGAGTTTTGACACTTTGTGTTGTAGGGCAGTAGTGTGTTTGTCTTTTTTTTTTTTTTTTTCCATGTATGTACAACTAAAGCTTTCAAAGCCTCTGAGCTGAACAAATTAGTTCTGGTGAAATAGCTCACCTTGACTTTCAGGCCAAGCCAAGACTGCATGGTGCCTGGGGCTACTGGTGCAGGTTGGGAAGCCTCAGTGAGTGTAAAGTGAACTGCAGAAGTATATCTACTTCATGGAACTAGTTGACCTGAACATATTTGATCTGTGATTTTTGACCCCATTTGGATCCCTGAATGCGTCTAACTGCCATGCCAGGCAGCATTTTTAATTTTTCCATCCACATTATGTTTGAGGCCTACTTCCACCAAGGATTCTCTCTTTACAAACCATCAGTGTGAGTGAGAAATCTACTGCACTCCAACTTATCAGGGTCATTGCATTCAGTGTCTACATTCAGTGTCTTTTTTTTCAAAGCAAAAAAAGTATATAACTTCCATTTGGTATCAAGAAAACATCAACTATTTTTCTTAAATGTCTGTGGTAGTTTCCAATGAGGAATCTTGCAAACCACAGGACCCTGAATAGCAAAGACATCTTAAATCTCTTGTGAACACAACAGTAAGTACACACTTTATTTTTTACTTGTGCATTGTATGCTGGAGGACTTTTTCATTTAATCTTTTCATTGTAGCTTTCTATTAATGTATACTTCTTAAGAAAAAGAATATGAAATAGAAGAAACGGTTTACGTAAAGGTAGTTCTATAAAGCAAGAGAGAGAAAGAAGGAAAAGAAGGTATCTTTTGAGGAGAGTGGATTCACCTCTGTCACATCGTTCCTTGCACATCTCTGAACATCTGACAGCTTCTGTTAATCTAGTTTCACTCCGCAGTTCAACTTCCCATATGGAAAACTGGAGTGATTTTTGAATAACAGCAAGTAATATCTGGAGTGGCAGCAACTGGCAACTCTGACATTGAGCTTGGCTGTGGCCATTACCCAGAATCCTTCTGCTCTTCTTGAGAAGCAATTACAATTTCACAGGTTGGAATTAAAATTCCCTGTGGTATGCAGTAGAGTAACTGAAACTGTCAAAGTGATTTCAAGCTGCTAATCTCTTGCTGCTCGAAGAGTGAAAATAGAGCCCCTCTTACCCAGGCACAGATCTGACAACTTAAAAACTCCAGCCTTCCACTACGTTTAAATACATATGGAGAGTGGCTTGATCTGCTCACAGAGGATATCTGTAAAGATGTTATGTCTATGAACATTTGTGTGTTATTAACAAGTCTATCTTTTTTAACTTTTAAGACGTGTGTAACTTCAGGGACTAAGATGAATATAAAAGAAGTCTTATTCAAAAGCTCTGAGAATTTGGAGGAATGAGTAGGCATGTGCCTGTTTCTGTGAGGCTTATTAAAATCTTTATTTATGTCTCTTTGAACATGTATTTTTTGCTAGAAAAATTGCTTGCAACTTTCCCAATTTTTTTTTTCACTTATTTGTATCCCACATTATATTTTCTATGCACTGTGTTTGATTGTATAGATAGAAACAAAGAGCATTTAGAAATCAAAAACAGAGTTAAAAATTGAGGGCCTGTAAAGCTAGGGTGCAAATTGAAAAACATTAGTGCAAAAGCTGCAGAGCCAGTTTGAACTAGGAGACACAGCCCACAGAGTTGGGAACTAGCTGCAAAACACCATTTGACTTGTTCAGAGGCAGGGTTCATCCACTAGATCATTAAAATTAGAATGATTGCTGGAAAGTGTTTTTGCAAATATCATTAAATGTCTTTTAGTTCCATGTGTTCTTTTAACATTCAAGTGAATGTTTTTTATCTTTAAATGAAGGTGCTTCAGTAGCTGGTAGAGGGGAGATGAATTATGAATCGTCCTATTTTAATTTTAAAGAAGCCCGATACAAAAAAAAAAAAAACCAACACAAAACATGTCACTGTATGTACTGGTATCTCAGAGTCTGTTAATTCCCACTTGGGAAACTGCGGTTGTGGACTTGGATCATTAATCCTGTCCATTCAGGTCCCGTGAATGGAGAAAGAGTAATATTGGAGTATCTTTTCAACAACCTTTATTTTGTTGGAAAATGCTTAGCAATTATAGAGTGGTGTTAACATGATGTTTTATAGAGGACAATCTGCCTCGCATGGTTTGCTGAATGCTGGTTGTAGGTAATGGAGTGAATTTCCATGTTGGTGACCAGTGTGTGATGCAGATTTGTGCCTACAACTTGCATGCTTTAAATGTCCCATCTGTCTTTGAGTGTGAAAACAGGCTAGTTGTGCTCAACTGAGCATAAAATATTGTGTTTACTCCCTTCCTGAGTAGTGTTTGTGGGGAGGGTTTACAAATGTTAGTTGGCAATAGGTTACAGATTATAGGAGAAGCTTGGAGATGATAAAACACACCAAAAAAGGGCCATGATTGTTTGGCGTATAGTAGGAGTTGGGGATCTGAGAGAAATTAATGTGATGAAATTATGACATGATGGGAAATTTAACTTTGCATAGTTAGGATCTCATTATAGTGTAATCTGAAGAATAAAACTTTTATGGTGCTTGGAAGGCTTTGCTGCACAGACACCCTTCCCAACTGCTCATAACTCTTGGGCTTACTGTGGTGTGATAGAGCAGTCTGTTCCACCACTCTAGTGTCACAGCCAGAGAAAAGCAGTCCAGCTCACCTGGCCTAGAGTTGTGAACTTGGAACATACAGTTTTGTGGAGGAGGGCATTCCAACTCTATTACCTCTCACCCTGCTTTGTTGGAGCATTACATGTCTGTCTCATTGCTCTGTAGGGAAAATGAGTAAACTGTGACCAGCAAAGAAACTTGCTCTGTCCAATGGCATTCAGTAAATTAGTCATACTATTCAGTGATTGCAAGCTTTGACTACTTGTTTGGTTTTTAAGTACCTGCATTCCATTGTGAGCCTGTGTTTGCTCTTATCCTTTCTTCCAGCTACTTTCTCCAAGCTATTAGCAACTCGTTTTATGGAAGATGACATGTCTTCAAAAGGGCAAGTATTAGTCTGAGCAAGGTGGCTTATTCCCTGAAAACAAGAATGCTACTTCTCCGGTGGAGCTGATTTGCCAGAGGTATCAGTGCTTGAAAACTGCTGTGTTGCAGTGTCTGTCCTTTAACTGTGTGCTGTCTGGTTGCCACAGCCTTTTGTGTATGTCAGAAACTCCCATTTGCTAGTAGGCAGCATTAAAAGGCCTGTTTCTGTTGTGCTATATTAATCTTGCAAACACCAGAAATGTAGTGATTCAGGACAAGAAATACATCATTGATGTCAGTTAAACGTATAAAATTTGATATCCACTAGTGGCTTTATGAGCCATAAAAGTCAATAACTAGCAATTGCTAACTACAAGATCTCTATACAAGAGATTATAGAGGGCTGCACGTGCGTGGTCTGCAGAGTGTTAGTATGAGACTGCAGAGGGAAACAAGTGAGCAAGTTACTGAGCCAACTGTACAGATAACCAATAACAGAGAGAAGGATGTTCCCACTCGAGGGACAGCTTAATCTCCAAGTATTACGATAATATTAAGGAAATTAAAAAAGACAGATAGCAGCTTGGTCACGTTGCAGCAGCATTAATTTGCTTCTGTCCTGCTTGGATTGTTTAGCAAGCAAAAAGGGCAATCTGAATGTCAGTCTCCAGCAGAAGGATAAAACAGAGCCTAACAGCAGTTAGCAGCCTTGGATATGTGAGAAATAAATTGTTTGGTACAAATTTGAACCTCCTGCGCTTCCATATCTTCTCCCCATGCTGCTCTAAAGAGACATCTTATTTTGATTTGAATTTCTTTGGCATTTTTTTCTGCAAACACCTTTTTTATTATACCTTTTTATTTTATCTGACTCTGAAACAGTACTGAAAAAGTCATTCACTTATACTTTTGTTTTTAAGATCAAGCTTGTTACATGCCCTGTGAGCCTGCATCAACCAGTATCTTAATTGTAGGAGGGGTGGGATTAATTTTTATATTGATTTGAACATAAAATGGAAGTTTTCAGTTGATTTTTGGAGTAGTGGTTGGGGGATCAAGAAAATCAAGCTTGGCTGGCAATCAATTTAGTATATTTACTGTCTTTATCTAGAGATTTGCCAGTATTGCATACTAAAAATTGTTGAAGCTAACTAATCTAAATCCACTGACAAATTTCCAGTTTCTACCAATTTATAGTGTCATTAAAATCAGACACACAGATAATTTGATAGCCCTGCCCCAGCATAAATCTACTGTAAGAATTATTGCTGTAGATCAGTGGTATTATACATTGCTCTCACCACGTCCTCCATGACATCTGCTGGGCAAGAAGAAAAACAGACAATAGGCAGCAGATAAGAGGCAGTTGCTAAACTTTATAAAGAAGTGGCTGTCTTGAGCCTCAGTACAAATATTCATATTCAAATCTTGTAGTTTTTTCATTCTGAAAGTCTGTTTTAGGATGGCTATCAGCTGTACTCCAGCATAGTAAGTTTTCCTGCCAGTATAGAAGGATGGAGGACCTCTTCTCTCCCGCAACCCGTAGCAGCAATGGTCCACCACTGTAGAGGTGGATGAGCCTTATGTTTTATGTCAAACAGTGGCAGAGCTTCCAGGGCCAGCCCTTTGCCACCTTTGTTTCTTTCCATAGTCTTTGAAAGACATTTACTTACCACGTATC